TTGGAACGGGCCGTTCTGAATCCAGAACGGGCCGTTCCGAAAGCAGAACGGGCCGTTCTGGTTTCAGAATGACTCGTTCTGCTTCACTGGTGGTATTTTAATTTTGCAACCAGAACGGCCCGTTCCGGTTTCAGAACGGGACGTTCCGAGTCCAGGTGTTTTAAAAAATAATTCTCATCCACGTGGATGCCACGTGCATCTACGTGGATGTCACGTGCATCTACGTGGCATCCACGTGGCCAAAAGTTAACTCCGTTTAAATAATTTAGACGGAAGTCCCACATTAAAACTAATTAATTAATTTGGAACTAAATTGAAACCTATTAATTAGTTTGAGATCAAATTGAGACAAAAAAATTAATAAGAGACTAATTTGAAACAAAAAAAGATTATAACGGATCAAAATAGATTTTTAGCCTTAAAACTATAATCTACAACGACGTGAACATGTTGATCTTTAAAAAGCTTTTACCAAAACACACACTATTTACTTGTGAATCATGATGTTGACTTTTTGGATCCAGACAGTAGATAACTGAAGCCTTTGTCGGATAATATTAATGTCCACCAGAAGAAGACAAAATATTAGTCCTAAATAATTTCTAGTTTTGGCACCAACTCATAATGTTTTCCACTTTCAAAAAATAGATATTTATACCATAAAATTAAAAGAAAAAAGTTAGTTAAATGATCAAAATAGATTTTTAGCCTTAAAACTATAATCTACAACGACGTGAACATGTTGATCTTTAAAAAGCTTTTACCAAAACACACACTATTTACTTGTGAATCATGATGTTGACTTTTTGGATCCAGACAGTAGATAACTGAAGCCTTTGTCGGATAATATTAATGTCCACCAGAAGAAGACAAAATATTAGTCCTAAATAATTTCTAGTTTTGGCACCAACTCATAATGTTTTCCACTTTCAAAAAATAGATATTTATACCATAAAATTAAAAGAAAAAAGTTAGTTAAATATGGAGATGCGGGGGATCGAACCCCGTGCCTCTCGCATGCAAAGCGAGCGCTCTACCATTTGAGCTACATCCCCGATGACAATACTGGTGCCCTGTTATTTATAATTCTAAATATTAACGATAAAAAAAAAGCTTTTTCCTTAAGCTTATATAGAAACCTAAACTTCTACAATGTTTTGGCAAGATCATGCAAGGTTGTATGCAGCAAACTTAGCTAAGTTTCGGAGGCACCTTTCACGTCTACTCTTTTGTTTAATGAGTTTCTGACACTGGAGAAGAAAAGTTCAAGTAATGTTTAGTAGTTATATATTAAACGAGATATTATTGTTTAGAACTTTTCAAATTATGCGAGAAGAAAAGTGCATACAGGTCTTGAAACTAACATTAGTTCTCGAGTAGAAGATGCACTTCCTCATGCTGCAAGATGAAATTTATTTATACAACAAATTTGTATAATTTCTTTCATTACTTATGAAGATAGATAATAAAAAAAGTGTGTAATACAATAATTTAAGTAATGAAGATAAAGAAGAAGAAAAAATATTATTGGAGAAAGTGTTGTACAAAAATAATATACTTTTAGTCCTAATCAATTTCCTCTTCCAAACAGTGTCTATCAGGTTAAAAGGTTATTCACCAATAGTCAGAGCAAGAACAAGAACCATGCTTAAAACTATGAAAACGATAACGATCTCGGACAACAATTTCACGTTTGTATATACCAGAAGCAATCTTAATTGCAGAATGACAGTCCTGGCATATCCTCAAGTTCTTGAAAATACACAGGGAAGAACCGGGTGTTGTGCTCATTAGGCCAAAACAAAGTGCTAGCTTCTCACTATGAGTGAACAGCACTTGTTCTGCCTCTTCCAATGCTTCCATGCAGTCATCCCCATTGGAACAACCAAACAAAACTTGACAATTTGTGTTGGGAACATAGCCAGCCAGCCTCAGCTTGCAAATAATGTCATCAAGCTTCATGTAAATATCTGCAGTTCTTGGGTGTGACTTATCCCCAGCAATGAACTTATGAAGTTGGCCATCAACATATATGGAACTCATTCCTGGCACCTTTCTGATACCCCTATTCTTAAGAACCTTCCTAAGGGAATTTGCCTGGTCTACCTTTCCACACAATGCATACATGTTGGAGAGCAGGATATGATATTCGGTGTTGAGGGGATCCATCTGAATCAACTCTCTCATAATCTTCTCCCCCAGCCTCAACTTACCATGTGCATAAGAAGCACCCAAAAGGGACCCTAAAACAACTTCATTTGGAGGAATTGGCATTTTCCTCACCAAAACCTCAGCTTCTTCTAAGCGTCCAGCTCGACCTAGAAGATCCACCGTGCAAGCATAATGCTCTATTTCTGGCCTCACTCCATAAACAGATTGAAGATCATGAAAATACTGCCAACCCTGTTCAACTAGACCCGAATGGCTGCAAGCACTTAACAGAGCCATGAAAGTCACAGCATCAGGCTTCACCTCTTCCACCATGCAACCAAACATATCCACTACAAGCTTCCCCATCCCATGCATAGCCAACCCACTAAGCATGGCATTCCATGCCACCACATTCCTCCTTGGCATGTGCCTAAACACCATCAAAGCAGTCATTATCCTCCCACATTTGGCATACATATCAACCAAACTTGTCCCCACCATGACACCCAAATCCCACCCCACAGCCTTAACAGCATAACAATGAACCCACCTTCCCACACTCAAATCCCCAGACTGAGAACAAGCAGACAAAACAGAACACAAAGTAACATTATTCAACCCAAACCCAAACCCACAATCAAAAACAGTATCTTTCTCTTTTTGGTTCCCTACATATGTTGTCCTTTGAAAACGTTTCTGTTCAAGATCCTGGTGGGTACTAAATGTGGACACCTCTTCATATGGAGATTCGAACCTTAGTTCACTATGTTGGAAAGGACTAGCCCTTTCCATTAGACCTAACTCCAGTTGATTACCAAAAACCATATCTTTCTGTTCGAGAAACCGTCGAGCACTAAATGTAGGTACTTCGTTTTGCGGGAATTTAAACCTTGATTCACCCTGTAGAGGACTAACGTCTTCCGCTACACTCAACCCTCTTTGGTCACCAAAAACCATCTCTTTAAGAAGCAGAAAAGCCTCTTTTGTAAGCCCACTCTCAACATACCCCTTTATCAAAACAGTCCAAGCAACCTCATTTCTCTCAGGCATTTCATCAAACACCACTCTCCCACTCTCCACACCCTCCCATTTCACCACACCTTCCAAAACCACAGTCCAAGACACCACACTAGGTTCCTCAATCTCTTCAAACACCCTTCTAGCCTCACCCACAAGCCCACACTTGACATAACCATCCATCACCGCATTGCAAACCTTGGTGTGCCCCGAAAACCCAAGCTTCACCACACCCACGTGCATTTGAGGCACAAGGTTGGTGTCCCCGAGCCTGGCACACGCGCCGAGGGCGCAAATTAGGGCTACTCCGTCGACGGGGAGGGCACGTTGGCGCATTTGGAGGAAGAAACGGAGGGAATCGAGGGGGTGAGAGCAGCGGATAAGGGCGGTGTAGTCCACGGAGTCCTTGTGCGAGTGGGGAATTTTGTCGAACAGTTTGCGCGCGTGGGAGGGGAGGGTGCAGGAGGCATAGAGGTGGAGGAGGGCGTTAAGGAGGAAGTGGGAGGGGGAGGAGAGGAGGCCCGCGACGGTGGCGGCGGCGTGGAGTTGCTCGCCGGGGCGGAGGGCGGCGGCGCGTGCGCATCGTCGGAGGAGGGAGCGCAAGATGAGAGCACATTGTTGTTGCGAGCTATGTGACCATCTCATACCATAATATGATCATGATTTGTGTTGGGATTAAGAGTCATGCTTATAGTTTTGTGAGTTCCCGGGTTAACGTATGTTTAATAGTATTTTTAAGAGAGAAAAACAGAAAAGTAAGATTAAAAAAATAAAATAAACTTTTTAATAAATTAAAACTAACTTATTTACAAGTTAAAAATAAAATTATAAAAAATTAATAAGAAAAAATCTCTACAAATTAATTTATATTTAAATCAATTTTAATTTATGAAAAAAATTATTTTATCTTCTTTTTCTTATTTTTTTTAAAATACCTTTAAAGAAGTTTATACAGATAAATTCTAAAAAGCGCATGGGATTAAAGAGGTCAAGTATTAACTCAAAGAAATCATATATTGCACTTCTATAAATTAATTTAAATTTTAGATTTTCTTTTACTATGTATACTTTCAGATAAATTTATCTATAGAAATCTTATGTTGTGAATGAAAACAAAATAAATTGAAAGAAAATTGAAAAACGTGTTTCTAGTATTAAATTAAGGGGGAATATATGCTTTATGTATTTAGTACGCCAAACTACGCTAATTTACCGTACTTCAGTTAATTTGCATCATAATAATGTTGCGTTTTAACTTTCACTTCCATTTCACATCATCCTTTTCATTTCACTTCCATACCTTCAAGGACTACTGCTTGGTATTCCTATTCCTGGGGGCTCAAGATCATGGTTTTAACATTTTTTTGTTCTAAAGTTATTCTACACAGGATTTTAAGCAGGTGAATTACATGCCGCATTGTAGCAACATAATTTACTCCAATGGATTAGAACCAAAACTCGTTTATATTTGAACAGCAAAACCAACAAGAATTCTGGTTTCTTGATAATTCATGCAACAGGCCATAAAGAAATAAAAGATCAATATTCCATACATGCCAAACCCAGCATTAGATACATACATTTAAAGAAGCTAATAGTACCAAATTATCTGGCAGCACTGCACAACACACCATCTTTGTCCGAACACTCAAATCATAATCAGAAGAGAAGGGGGGTCAATGGGAAATAATTGCAATCCTTGTATCTTAGCGACCTTTATGGCCATTGCAAGGAAAGGTCAGTCATTGGCTATTTAGAAAGTTTGAAGTACAGGATCAAGACGATGGCAATAACCAGGACCAAAACAATGCCACCAATAATCCATTTATTCTTGTTCATCCTTCTTGACATGTTGGTCAAAATTTTCTTGCTCTTGCCAATGTTATCATCAACTCCATGAAGCTGCATGAGGGAAAACAACCATCAGTAGATCAAAGTATATGTACTTTTATTGTCTCACTCTCATCACTATTGTATTGATACTACTCGTTCTTCTATTCACTACTCAGGGAAAAGAAAATTTTATGTTGCACTTGAAATTATCTATAATAGAAAATTAAAATCCTTGTGTCATGTTACTAATAGTAATAGAATTACAGACACATCATCTATTGAAAAGAAAGAAAAAAATTACCGTGTTATGCGCATGCAATAGAGATTGTCGCTGTGAATGCAAATCATGAAGAATGGAGACACCGAGCTCTTCTGTTTCCAACATTGTTCTCCTACTTTCCTTAACTCTGTCACTGGTTTTATTCAACCTGTCAGTTGACGTCATTAATCTTGTCCTCTGATCAGCAGATGCCTAATGTATTCACATTAGAAGTTGGTGTCAGCTTTGGTATTTCCGATCCAAGAAAACAGGAGTTCAGAAATGAAGTTTGAATCTAAGCTTAGTCATTCTTCGTATCAGGAAATCAGACAATAGAAATGACATTGGGCACAATTGTCAATAATGTAGCTGAGGAAATTTATAATCTAACATATATATAAATCTCCGAGGTCTCACCAACTAGTTTGCCCAAAATCAACATCAAAGCATCTACTTGTAAAAAAAAATTAATCATATTAAAAATCTATTTATACATTAATGATCAGATTAAACCTTTAATGCTTATCCTAATCTAATAATAACTTAGAATGATACATATCTATCTTATCAATAATTTTACTTAATCTAAATAAGTTAAATATAATTTATACAAAAAAACATAAACTATTACAATTTTAAAATTGGTATAAAGTTATCTTTCCATTACATAGGCAACAAACTAGTATTATTAAATGTTAACATAATTGTCTACATTGTATGTGAAAAGGGAGAAGGCCATTGTAATTTGTAAGCATATACAGGGCTATTGAGAAAATCAATTGTACCTTTAAAAAAAAAAGGTATTTCTATCATAAAACACGATGAAAACAAATTGACCACACACCAATGGGAAACAATCAATCCTCATAAAAGAATCAATTAGATAAAAATTTCTATGATCATCCAATGCTCAAATAATCAATTGGATAAAAAAAAACTCTAAGATCATTTCTAGACAATTAATCTTACATTTGACCTCTAAAAGGTCTAACATTTTGGTTGAGTCAGATATATACTAGAAATTATCTGTCAACAAAAATTATAACTACTCTATACAATTAATCTACCATTAAAGATTGCTTCTCTTTCACTGTTTGAACTTTGAAGGTATATCCTTCTTGAAGTGTGAAATGATACATAAATTATACAGTCCTTTTTATTTCAAATTAAAAGTTTCAAGTGGTAATCATAATGTTTACAACTTCAATAGGTGTAATTTGAAAATAATAAAATATATTGCCTAAACTTCATTTGCTTTGTTTCACCATTGACGAGATGGATGCATCTCATAAATGATTGTAATTATCAAGAACATAGTCATAGTCATCAAACTATGTCAATGTATAGAATAATGATATACACAAAGTATGGACAAATTACTTATTGATCAATAAGAGTCAAATACTATTTTGGTCCACATACTTAGATCTTAATTTCATCTCGGTCCCTACCATTCAAATAGCTTCAAAGAAGACCCTTAATTGATCATTGATGTAACAGTTACAACGTGAACTACAAATCAACTTTTGTTTACAATGGCTAAAGAAGTAGAAATGAGGGAGGGAGGTGGCTTGCTTGACAGGGAAAAGAAATATCAGCAACAATAAGCCATCACTTAACCCATCAATTTTAATAAAAAAAAAGTATATAACAGTATAGAAAAAGGATGATCAAATTGTATCCTCGTTATAGTTTCACAACAAAACTAATCATCATCAAGTACACAAAAGAGGAAGTTAAAATAAATGAATCATACCGTCATAGCATCTGCCATGCCTGATTCCAACAATTCATCTCGTGCAGAAGGATTTAAGTTACCAGATACAATTTTCTTGATTTCACTTTTAAGATTGTTTAGATCAGATTTATACTCCCGCAACTTAGCAAGAAGTACACCCTTGACGTTTGGCTGCAAACTTCTTGCCTCGAGGTCCATTTTTCGAATCTACAAATTCATTAGCTAAAACATATCAGACCCTCAAGAGTACAAAAAAAATAAAGCCATCTTCCCAATGAGGGAGAAAAAGAAGTACCAAAGCCTCTGCTTCATCAATTCCAGACTTTATTTCAGAAACTTTTTGCTTCTTTTGCTCTGCAGACAAACAGAATAATAAAAATTATAATGGAATATATTGCTCAAAAATATATCATAAGGTTCGATGCTTCCCCCATCCAGATAAAGGTTTTCAATAGTTTTCCATTCCAATAGTTCATTACTTCAAGAATTAAGACATTCTTTCGTGAATATGTTTATGTTATCCATAGGAATTTATAGAGAAGCCAAATACTGTTGTCACATAAAATGAGTATTAGAATTCACTTCAGTCTGTGATGCATGCATTAGAATTATTCCCCCATCCACTCAACTAACAAAAAGAACAAAAATGAGGCAAGGCGTCAAACATAATGGGAGAAAAACAAATTGGGAAATAGTTAAGTACAAAGATACAAAAGTGATAGCAAGGTGGCTTCACTAAGCCATTGTTAACCTTTATAATCTAGTGTTCAAAATCCAGAGCATGCAGTTTCTGCTCCTAATCAAAGCTTACAACATCAAGAAATAAAACCATAAAGACTGCAATTCTGACACACTAGCTAGACCAACAACATTGCCTCTACACCTTTCCTTTGTAGGCATCTGCCAAGAGATTTTTCCAAAAATGTCAAATATAGGAAGATACAAATACAGTCATGTTTCAATCATGACTAAAGAAAAATAATAGGATCAGTGAGACTTTGGAAAGTATCAAGAGGAGAAATTTTCTTGACGGAATTTCTACCAACAGGAGCTACACATCAATACTTTTTCAGGCCAAAAGAAGCTCTACACACCAATAACTGAAAGGATCCTAATTCATGCAATACGCCATTATCCAAATTCAAGCAATGTAACTGAATTCTGTGATAAAGGAGTTCCAATAATATTTAAAAAAAATAAAAATCTACGAACTCGCAGACTTTTAGACTATATTCTACATTTGAATCAATACAAATTAAATCAAACACAGAAGAAGACTCGTCAATTTTTTTAAAAAAAAAAACAAAGTAAGATCAAGTAAAAATGCTCTAGTACCTCCATTAAGAGCACCAGCAGCAGTGCACTTTTTCGCTAGATTCGCCGAAAGCTCGCAGTATTGGCGTTCGTATCCCTCGAACACGTTGCTCATCGTCCACGACCTTCGTCACTCTCTGTTCAATTCACGATCAACAAAACGAAGAAAAAATAAAGGAAAATTAGAAACAAAAACCTCTCATCCAATTAAGCAAAACGAAATCGGAACCTAGGGATCGAGAATCCGGCTCCGAAACCCTAATTCTTAGGCGTAAACACAAAAGGTTGGAGGACAATCGGCGGCGCGAGAAGCGAAAAGTGGTGACAGAGAAGAATCGGAAGTGACGAAGGTACCTGCGGTGGGCGGAGATGACGTGGAGGCTCGAGAAACGGCGGGAATTTGGGCGGAGAAGGGTGGCGAAGAGGAGAGGGTGCGTTTTGTTTGGCGGAGGGTTCAAAACGACAAGGCAGGGAGAATAATTAGTGGAGGAGGAATGATGAGGGCATATTATTCTCTCTTTGGTAATTGGTGGAAGGGTTTGTCTGTCAGACACTTCAATTACTCATAAACTAAATTTTGAGTTTAGTAAGTCGGAATTGTGGAGGATGACTAGGAATGCTTCTTGACTTTTTCTTTTTCTTTTTTAAACTGTATTTATTTATTACTACTGTTACTGTAGTAACTGAAAATGTTATTACCAGGTAAATTAGTATATTTTACATATACTTATAATTATAAATAAATAATACATGGTATAAGGACCAACTCATTAGTCTGAAAAAAAAAAAAAAAAACAGGTTGCAAACCTTGGTTTGTTTCACCTAGGGTAAGTTGACGAACCAACTCATTAGTCTGCAAAAAAAAAAAAATGTAATTTATTTTGAGTTACTCTTCCGACAAATTTTTTTTTATATCTAAAGAATTTATATAAATAAGTGTACTCAAGTAATAAAAAAAATCCCAACTTTTTTTACATAATAAAATAGATATATAATTAATTAATCATAATAATATTCATAGCTTTATTTATTACACAACAAATCTTAAATTATATATATAAAAAAATCAAATATATAACAAATTTGTTACACTATAAATCACAAATTACAGACTATACACAAAATAAAATTGAAATGATTTAATTAGATTTACATTAAAAATAATATATAAACAAAAAAAGGGCTAGTAGGGTCAGCCCCCATTTGGAGGGCATGTTTGCAGGCTAGGTGGATTGGTAGGCCAAAACACTTGATCAATCTCGCCAATTTTTTATGGTAACCAATTTTGTCACCTGTAATGTTGAATATATGTTTGATTTGCCTTGTATGATGACCTCATGAATTATATGAACTATATATCTTTTATATATCATCATACATTCAATTAATATATACACACTTTTTAGAAAAAGAAAAGAAATAGCATTTGTTGTTGTGTCTTATGAAAAGAATACAAGTTGATTTTGTATTAATCACACCTTTATCGTAAAAAAAAAACATTTTGTAAATGTTATATGTAAATGATTTTGTACACACTCATGCTTCAAATAACAATGTAACATACATCTCTTTTACATGACAAATGACCTACTATACCCTCCTCACAATGTGCAAAAAGTAGGATTTGCACAAAATATTTTGTCTCTTACATTTGTGTCCTAATATATCTCTTGGGACTTTATATAAGAAGATGCACAATGTTGAATGCAAGAAATCTTTCTCGACAATCATATTCTTAAAATGTTCATATACTAATAAATTAGAAAGTTATATTTCTTATTTATACTAAAGTTACCTTGAGGAGATGATCTCTATTAGACAATCTATGAATTGCTCCACAATTTTAGAAATAGTGAGTATTTTGTGATCCCAAGAATTTTGTGGCCTTTTATATCATCACTCTAGTAAATTAAACACTTGTAAACATTCAACCTTTGTGTGTTGATAATCTTGAAGAGGCTTGTAAGAAAATAATACATGAAAGTCTAGTATTGTGTTGTGATTAATAGTTTGTAAAGTCTAGAGAAGTTAAAAATATTTTATTTGCATTCAATGGTTGAATATTGAATTCTTTAATAAAAGAAAAAATAAAACCTAATTCTTAAGGATATGCATCTTTCTTTATTTATTAACTTACTTAACTAACATGGATTGAAAAAGTTTTAAAAATAAGTTTTTAAATACACAATTCAATCTCTTTTTGTGTTACTTGTGTATCTTGCTAATGAAAAATAAATTCAAAATATAAAAAGATTTGTGCTTGAATATTATAATTTCTCCGTAAGTAATGTCAGGAAAAAAATAAAAAGAAAAAAAAATTCTCCCGAAGTCAAAATTAGTATTTATATTAGTTAATTTGTAATATATAAAAAAGTTTCATATTAGTCTTTAAGTTAATTTTGAATATAAATAAGTTTATTTTCTTACTTTTTCTCCTAAAAAAAATACTTACGCATAAATTTATTTAAACATAAATAATAGATATAGACTTTTATGCGGGCCCTTACAAAGAGCACAGAGAATTGAAAACGACGAAATGCTAACTTCACGTTTTTATCCATGAGAGGTGTATTTAAAATAATAGTGAAAATTAGATTATTTTAATAATTTATAATAAAAATACATTTTTGTTTGGATAAACATGATGAAAAGTAATTTTAAAATATTTAATTTTATTTAGATGAAAAAAATCAATTTTTGTATATTAACTAAACTTTAGAGAAAAATTGTTAAAAAATAATCATAAATTCAAATATTTAAGATACATAAAAACAACCTATTTGATTATAAACATAAAAAGAAAGTAACCTTTTAAAAATTTTAGTTGTTAAAGTATACAAATTTTTAAGAATTATATAATAGCTCAATACAGCTACATGAGAAATATAAACATGTATAATATAAAAACATAAAAACAATGATTCTTGATGAATCAAAAATGAAGATTGTTTTCTTGATATAGATGATTTCAAGTAGGAACGTATGTTGCAGCTTTTGAACTAGAGAAATTAACATATTTTGAAATAGTCTTAAAAATTAAGATTAGATGTTGAACTAATGAAAAGCATGGTAATATTGTAAAGAAGATACTCGTACCCCTTGGCCTAATCCCCTCATTTTGGTGGAGCCTCAATAAGAACGACAACATAATACAATTCTGAAGAGAATATAGAAAATTCATTATTTAACTTATATATTTATTAGACAACAATTTTAGAATTGTAATAATAATTTTGTTTATCATTGGATTAAATTGAGTTTTGGACAATTTGTTTGTAGAATACCATTCTATATTTTCAATGGTTGGATTGTCAAAAAGATGTTTAAGGTTGGAGGAAAAAGTTTCACAATGAAAGTTATTCTTTTGAGTGTTTTCATCTTCCTATTTTTCATTCTCGGAGATCCACATACGAAATTTTGTAACACCCTATTTTTTATAAAATATAATATATAGTGATTTTATTAAAGGTAATTACCAACAAAATATTACAAATTATCCCTGCTGAAAAAAATGGCGGGCTTCATCCTCTTGCAGCCTACCCTTCTCTACTATGTAATCAAAGAGCTCTCCAGATTTCACATACTCCATAACAACATATATGTCTGTTTGTTTTCATCATCAAAAGGAAGAGTGCCACAGAGAAGAGCATATAAAATTACACCACAGCTCCAAACATCTACTTCAGGTCCAGCATACAATTTCCCAGAGATAACCTGTGAAAAACAACAGTTTATCCTTGATATTTTAATCACAAGAGTTCTCAAAAGTAGTAGTGCTATTCCATAACAAACCAATTATTTACAAACCTCTGGAGCTGCATAGTTAGGGCTTCCACAACTTGTCTTGAGAAAGTGACCATCACGCATGATGTTGCTCAAGCCAAAATCAGCAATTTTGATATTAAATTTTGAGTCCAAAAGTAAATTCTCAGGCTTCAGGTCCCTATGAACCACCATATTCCTGTGACAGTACTCCACACCAGAGATTATCTGCTTCCATAACATAAGTTTGATTAAATAATCTGTGACAAGCACAAGTTTCTGAAGCACACAAAATATTACAAATTATACCTGCTGAAAAAAATGGCGGGCTTCATCCTCTTGCAGCCTACCCTTCTCTACTATGTAATCAAAGAGCTCTCCAGATTTCACATACTCCATAACAACATATATGTCTGTTGGGGTTTCTACAACCTCATAAAGTCGTATAATGTGATGATGCATAAACAATCTCAAAATTTTGATTTCTCTTCTCACTGCAACAAAATGGGGGAAACAACACTAAGCATATTTAACCATTTTCTACGTACCAGTAGCAAACATGCAAAATTTAAAAACCATAGCTAAAGTGATTCAGCTATCAATCCCCAAACTCCATATATACAAACTCTTGGATTTCACAAAGAAAACTCTCCAAGATGTCACAAAGACTCACAAAAACGTTTTTCACAAATTGATTATCAGTTCTAACTCATGTCTGAAGTTTCTCAAAGTTCAAACTATTTATAAAAGTTTCAGACACAGATAATCGATTATTTTAAAGAATAATCGATTATTTTGTTCTTCAGGTTTTCTGGAAACCAACCAAGAACAATTTAATCGATTATTTAGCTGGATAATCGATTATTCCAGAGAGTTGTTCCTGAAATAATCGATTATTTTGGCAAATAATCGATTATTACAGCAAGGCATTCCACTTAGCCTATTTGCTGAAATAATCGATTATATTTAACAATAATCGATTATTTTGAGTTAATACTTAAAACTTCATTTTAAGCCTCAAAATAACTTTCCAATGTTTTTAACTCATCATCATCTACTCCCTACTTGATTCAGATAAGTTTTGCTTATGTACAAAGCACACTTAGCACACACAATACAAAAATTCATTCACAACAATTTATTTCCTAAGTTCTATTACATAGCTCCATTTCAAAGCATTTCCTTGACTCTTCTTTGACTTTGTTTTTGTGTTCCAAGTTGTTGTTGTACACTAGTTGTGATCATCAAAACTCTTTAAGTCTTCAGCTCTCCTAAGCTCAACAATTATAATATTTATTAAAAGGTTAGAGGGATTGGCCCCAATCCCATAAGTATTCTATTTTATGAAATTGTGTGTATTTGATGAGGTTTGTCAAGTAGATTTTGAATATAAATTTTATTTGGTGATCCGATACTTCTAAGGTAATTAATTGAGTACTCTGGAGAAAGAGGTTAGAACCCTAAGGGAAAATAATTAATGAATTTTAGGGATAAGAGTCGTAGACGTTTAATTGGATGAATTTGTATTGAACGGTAAATTTTCTGGGCTAAAACGAGTTTTGGCTGTTTAGATTTTTGTATAATCGTTTATCATGATGTTGTATGAGATTATTTGTTCCAATGATGGCGTGTATGGATGTTGGATTGCACGTAACACCGAGCTCGGGTGCTCGATGCTGGGCGTGCCTTCATGCGTATGATGACACTGCCTAGATGTGTTGGCGTCGGGCGTGAAAATGTCCATGTCGGGTGTGAGGTGACCAAGATGCTTCTGTCTTAGCTTAAATTCAAGCTTGGATTTGTTAAGCTGGACGTGGATTTGTTAACTAAAGCATGGATTTGTTAAGTGGAGCTTGAAAAGATCAGGATGCTCTTTCTCTCGGCTTAAATTCGGGCATGGATTTGTTAAGCCAGACTTGAAAAGATCAAGATGCTCTTTGTCTCGACTTAAAGTAGAATGTGAAAAGATCATGATGCTTCCTATTTCAGTTAAGAGTCGAGGGTGGGTTTCCAAGTTCGACATAGATTGTCAGGAGGCTCTTTTATGATGTTTTAAATGATGATATTATGATGTTAATAATTGATTACATGATGATGAATGTATGTGTTTGTGTGTGTGTGTGTCTATATATATATATATATATATAT